ACATTTAGCAACACCTGTATAGTGTTTGAGTCAATATGAAATATCAAATTAAATACATATAAGAAAACAAGAACCTTATTCAGTAACATGCTTCTACACTCGAAAGTCAAGGACGGGCATTCTGATGTACGCAAAGTTCTTATGTTGGGTGAAATCCCTCTAATTTCTTGAAGATTCATGCAATTATCTAAGTCAAGTGTCGCCAAGCATTCAGGAAATAGTGTAAGGTCTAAATCTTTCAAGGATGTGCACTCTGTTGCCTTGAATTTTTTTAAGTTGGGTGGAATCCCTCCAATTTCCCGAAAATTCTGGCAACGAAATAACTTAATTTCTGTCAGAAAGAGACATTCTCTGATGCATACTGGAAGAATTGTGAAATTACTATCGGTTAGGTATAACTTATTGACAAATAAAGGGAGACCTTTTCGAATAAATTCGTCTGATATATTGCAATCCCAAAAGCTAATTTCAAAATCCAAAGAGCTCACTTGTGCATCATCACCTTCCTCCTGTTTAGATATAAGCAATCCCTCACAATTCCAAACATTCAACTCAGAAAGCTCTCGCAACATCAAAATGCTCCTTGGTAACTGAAAAATTCCTCCACAAGGCTTCAGTTCTATACTTTCAAGCTGAGTGAGGTTTTGAATTGAAAATGGCAGTTCTTTTATGCAAGTGTCAAAGACATGAAGAGTTCCTATTTTTTCCATCTTTCCTAATATTTCTGGAAAATTCTCAAGACTAGAACAATATGAAAGTATGAGTTCTTCAAGTGAGGTCAACTTGATGGGCGGAAAACTCCTAAACTTCTTGCAACTTTCAGCATTCAAGATTTTAAGTTCATTCAAGAATCCAACCGATTCATGAATTTTAATTAAATTCTCACAGTATCCAAATGATAATTCTTCTAAATTTGGGACTCCAGACACATCAGGTATCTCTGTTATACATTGACAATTATTAAAATTCAAAACTTTCATATTCACAAACACCTGCAATGAGAAAAAGAAAAAATAATAATAAAGGAATCAAATGATTTATCTCAGATTTCTTATATTGATATAGAAGACCAGGAAAAAGAACTTATTATACTTACCTTATTTGACATGAGCAAATCAATTGACACTAAGCGACTTTGGGGTAACTCCAATATCACAAGTTTCTTTGGATTAAAATTAGATGGTAAAGATGGTGAAGGATACTCCCACCATTCCAGTACTCTCAAACTACTTGGAAGATGTTTGGGGCCTTCAGAAAAACGAGCATTTCTTATAATAAGTGTTTTCAGGTTTTTCATCTGCTTGAAGCCGTTTCCATCCCATTCTACTACTTCTTTAAATTTGAGGAAATCCAGAATTATGATTTGAATACTACTAGTTCCCTATCAAGACAAAAGCACAGGTCAACCGTAATACATACATATATAAATATGGAGAACAACGGACAATGAAATAACACTGTCAACAAAAGATTGTAAACAGAGGTATAAATATAGTAACCTAGGTGTCTAGCACGTAATAATCAAAAGAGATAAGGTAAAATTTGGATTTCAAACCATCTATATTAGTCTTACCGTATTATCTTCTAAAACTTGAACTATATCATCAGGGAACCATAATCTACTACGTTTGCCGGGATCTTTTGGTGCTTCTTGTCGGACAACTTCTTTACCCATGTCCTCTATCAGGTCATGCAATGTTACGCGGCCATACACAATCTTTATGAGAGACTTTTCAATCAGCACTCCAATACCATATTCTGGGCAGAAACCATGATGAGCGTGAAGTAATTTTTTGACATATGCTAGATGATTTCCTTTGAAGCAACAAGCAATATGAAGAAAAATTTCCTGCTCATATTCCCCCAAAGAATGAAAACTTATTTCAAGTATCTTTTGGATCTCTTTATTAGGAATTCTCTCATACTGAGCTAATGCAGATTTCCATTCTTGTATCCTTTTCCCAAACAAGTAGGAACCTATTACCTCCAATGCGAGTGGAAGGCCAGAAGCAAAAGTTATTGCTCGGTTTAAAATGTCCACATAACTCAAATCAACTTTGTCAGTTTTAAAAGCATTCCAACAAAGTAATTCAAGAGCTTCTTTTCTATTCAACCCATCTACCTCATAAGTTTTCTCAACCCCATGTCTTGTTAGCAAATGCTTGTCCCTAGTTGTAATGATGATTTTGCTGCCACAACCAAACCAGTCAGGCCCTCCAACAGTTGCCCGCAACTGGTCCAGTCTGTCAACATCATCAAGAACCACAAGAACTTTCTTTCCGTGGAGCCTATGCTCTATTATTGAAATTCCTTCATTCACACTAGCTAACTTAACATCCTTCTCTCCGAATACTTTAGAAATAAGTGTCTCTTGGATACGTTCTAATCCATATTTAATTGAATTTTCTCTTACATTATCAAGAAAACACAGAGCCTCAAATGATTCGGCAATCAAATTATAAATTGCTCGAGCAACGGTTGTCTTCCCTATGCCACCAATTCCATGGATCCCTATCATATGGACTCCATCAGATCCAACATTGAGAAGTGAGATTACTTGTAGCACTTTAGACTCCAATCCAACTGGATAATCCGCAACATGTAATGGAACCCGATTAATCTTGTTGGAGACCACTTTAGCAATTTTCTCAATAAACTCATATTCGTTCTCATTCCTACTAAATAAAACATATTAACATTAAATCAAATCATTAGACAAATGAAAATTAAAGAAAAAAAAAAAAAAAAAAAGGAAGACAAAACAGTACCCTTGTTGTTTGAAATGAAAGCCAGACAAGTCAGCTGCTTGACGCAGAGCCACCCTCCATTTCTGCACCTTCTCCATGTCATCCTTAAACCTCTTCTCATGAGTTGAGAGTGCTTCTTCGTAGCTATCTCTCTGATGTCGCACGTGAGAAGGATCAACGTCATAAAAAACTGGCAAAACCAACCGACCTTTTTCCTTGATGCAGTGAAGGATATGGACTAGTTCGTCCAAGCAAAATGAAGAAGAAGCATAGTTCGTAGAGAAGACAATAATGGCAATCCTGGATTCCTCAATAGCCTTGAGAAGTGACGGTGTGATTTCTTCTCCTCTTTGAAGCTCTTCGTCATCAATGAAGGTGTGGATTCCCCTGTCATGAAGAGTTTTGTAGAGATGGCCAGTGAAACCGTGACGAGTATCTTCTCCTCTAAAGCTTAGAAACACATCGTATTTCCATCCATAGCTAAAGGAAGAAGAGGGCGACAATGGTTCTTGGCTTGCCATGATTGATTGCTCACTTTACTCAAATCAATTAGCTCAAAATGAACAACGCACAAATACAGAAACTGTGAAAACACACTGTATTTTGTAAACAGAACAGAACAGAACAGAACGCGGAGTTGACTTGAACTGTTTGCCTTCCCTGATGTTTCCTTTTTGTTTCTTAATTATTATTATCATTTTTTTTTTAAGGATAGGAGTACGAGATATTATAAACTTGTAATAATATCTGAACCACTCAACTGACTTCCCGTGACTGTGATGGTCCTGATCTATGGGTGTACCGCAGTCGGTGATAGACTTTTCAAACATGTTATAATAAGTCAGTCTCGTCCTTTAATTTTTTTAATAAGGAATTTGTTAAAGAATATATTTTTTTATGTTCAAGAATTATAATTTTTAGGAATATAATAAGAAAGTTATTTTTTCATGAATCTTATTAAAAAATTATTTGGTAGGTTAAAATATTATTGAAATTTTGTTCCAATAAAAGTATAAATTTTTTCCAACACTTGAAATTCCAAAAATAAAACCTTTTTGTACTATTCTTGATGGCATTTTGAAAAAAAAAATATACATAAAATAAGAATATAATTATCACTTAAAAGAAAAAAATTCTTATCTTAATTAAAATTTCACTTATTTAATCACTATCACTTAAAAAAACTCTTGAGAGGACTGAGTAGTGGATAACAGCCTAGCAGGTGTTATATTCGCTTCTCAATTTTTTTTTAAAAAAACTATTTCTTTAAAGGGTAATAGTTTTCTCATATAATAGGAGATAATAATTATCTTCTACTGACTAATTTGTATAAGTGGGGTCCACTTTCAAGAGAAGAGAGAAGAAAAAAAATAGAGTGAGATCCATCTTAAATTTATGTGTGTGGTAGATAAATTTTTTCTTATGTAACATAAAAATAATAAATTCCTTAAAAAATATAATCTAAATCTAATCATAATAAAATTTCGTATAATTAATCAAAAGTAATTTATTAATAACTAAAATTTTCATATATCTTATGTTTCTTGATTTTTTTTATTAATTAGGATTTGATTTATTTATTTCTTAATATGAGAAATTGTAATTTACTATTTTTGTACAGTGATTGCGAATCTCTAATAAATATGAAAATGGATCCTCTCATGTGTTAAAAAAAGATGATATAGTCATGTGAGAAGATCACAACTATACAAAGGTAAATCAACGGTTATGATTTCGTAACTACCTATTTTATCATTTTTTTTTCTCTCTTCTTTTTTTAGCATTGATCCACTCTTGTATGGTTATGATTCCTCACATGACATGATCACGTGAATTTTCTTATAAGAGGATATGGATCCGATAAATATTAACCGGCTCCTGCGGAATCCCTCTTTCCATTTCATCAATCCTTGGTAACATTGTGCAATATTCCACTAAAAGCTTAAATGCATGACGAATATTCTTCAAAATTTCCCCGCATCCATATTTAAAGTTTAAAATCATAATTTATTATTACTGTTTTTATAAAGATTTGCATTATCTTAAAGATTTGATTTTCGAAACAGTTACTTTATATTTGAATAAGAATCCTAACTCCCCTTGGATTGAGATCCTCATATTAAATATGAATCACATTACACTAATTTGAATACTAATCAGTTACAACAATTCTATATAAGTATAATTGCTTAGGGCCGCACATACACAATATCTCCAGATCCCTGTTTCTACTTCTTTTCTTCCTTCACCACAATGGAGCCAGACTGGGCATATTTGCCATCACTTGCTCTCAATTTGATTCTTGACAAGTTGGGAGAACGACTGGATCATGTTTGGTTCGGTGCAGTGTGCAAGAATTGGTGCTCGGTTGCAAAGCTAAACCACCAACACCACCAATTCAGGGGTAAAGTACTGCCGATGCTAATGATCCCAACAAAAAGAAAGAGCAGAATAGAGAGAAATTTGTATGGCATTGTATCCGAGACAGTTTACAACTTTAAATTGCCTGTGCCTTATTCTAAGAAGTGCTGTGGTTCAAGCCATGGCTGGCTAGCAACGGTGGATCCTGATTATGTTGTAACACTTATGAATCCTTTCAAGAATTTAAAAATTCGTCTGCCACGCCTCAATCGTGGATTGTCAAATAAGTGCTACTACGAACGCAATATGCGTAAGGTTACTTTATCTGCTGATCCCATAAGCAACCCGAATGATTATGTGGTAGCTGCAGTTCACAGTGAACGTTGTTGTCTTGCTTTCATAAGAAGAGGTCAAAAGTTTTGGACCTATATTCGCAATGACTTTTTTTGCTTCACTGATATTACATTCTACAAAGGTCGAGTATATGCTGTGGGAAGATGGAATAACATTGTGTCATTCGATCTTTGTTATTCAGATGACCCTTACGGAACTGAGAAGATAATGCCAAATGTTCTTTATAGAGGAGGCCGTAAAGAACCGTATTCGGATCGAGCCTATCTTGTGAAATCATTGGAAGGAGACTTGTGGATGGTTAAAAGATTTTTGGGTTTCTACTTCACCAGTGAAGATAGCGACGTGACCAGCACTGGTACTAAAAGGTTTGAAGTGTATAAGTTGGAATTGGATTTCCAAAGTGGGAAGCTTTTGCAAGCGTTGAAACTGGAGAGTTTGGGAGATAATATTCTGTTTGTGGGTGATAACGATTCAATTTCTGTGTCTGCTTCGTATTTCTCTAATTGTCTACGTAGAGATTCAATCTACTACACTGACGATTACAACGAGGAAGAACCAAGCCCTTACCAATCTGGCCCATTTGATAATGGCATTTATAATGTTAAGGATGGAAGCTTTGCTAAACATTATCCTTATAATCCTTCTTTCAAGCGGATGCCACCACCATTCTGGATTCTACCACCGTTCCAGTGGGACCGAGTGGAAATAGATCAGCTCATGTGAAAAAAAAAAATCATAATAGGGTCATATGAAAGATCACAATTATATAAAGGTAAATCAACAGATATGATTTTATTTTGTAACTACTTATTATAATTTTTTTTTTCTCTCTTCCGTTATCACAATTGGTTCACCCTTTGTATGATTATGATTTCGCACGTCACAATGTCATGTGTTTCTCCACATAAGATCCAAATCCGAGACTGAGTAGTTCAACCTGAAGTATATATGATTGATTGTATCCCTTTATCACTTAAAAATTTTAATATATATAATATAATTTATATTTAATACATATAAGAGTCCATAATAAATTATATAACCAATCAAATATTTAAATTTTATAACATAAATATAAATATAAATAATTTTTCGTACTTTGTTAATTTTTCATATCAAATTTCATAATAGAAAAAAATTAATTTATAAATTATTTTTTTATATTTAGTTAATAAAAAAAAAAAATAAAAAAAAAAACGTGTCTGAAAAAGTTGTAGTTAACCTACTCATAAAAATAATAGAACAACTCTAGAATAATGATGCAACCTCCTTAGATTCAAGATTTATGATTATAGGTGTTGGTAATGTATACACGTGATCTTACTTTCGCGATCTTATCTTATTTTAAATGAATAATTTGAATTAATTAACTAAAAATAGTATATATACTAATTAAAATTAATGATAATTGAACTTGGAGTTTTTTTGAAGAATGATAATTCCAATTTAACTAATTAATGATAATTGAACTTGGAGTTTGATGAGATCGGTTATAAATGTGATAAATTTACCTGGTGGTAAGTATAACCCTCCCCATAGTAATAATCAAAATTATAATCTAATCTACTATATAATTTTTTTGGTAAATTACTATATTTTATCTTTGTGTAAACTGTACATCACAGGTAGTGTTGAAAAATCTAGTAATTTATAATAATTAAAAAATATCAATTTCAAATATTAATGTATATTTGAAGACTCCTATTGGGCCACTGAAGATACTCGAAAGAGATGAGAAGAAGCTGAGAAATAAATCTATTCCTATGGTGAAAGTCCAGTGGGAAGGAAGGACGCCTGAAGAGTCCACTTGGGAGCGGCAAGCCCTCCAACAGTTGCTCGCAACTGCTCAAGTTTGTCAACATCATCAAGAACCAAAAGAACTTTCTTTCCGTGGAGCCTATGCTCTATTATTGAAATTCCTTCATTGACACTTGCTAACTCAATATCCTTCTCTCCGAATACTTTAGAAATAAGCGTCTCTTGGATATGTTTTAATCCATATTTAATTGAATTTTCTCTTACATTATCAAGAAAACACAAAGCTTCAAATGATTCGGCAATCAAATTATAAATTGCTCGAGCAACAGTGGTCTTCCCTATGCCACCAATTCCATGGATCCCTATCATATGGACTCCATCAGATCCAACTTTGAGAAGTGAGATCACTTGTAGCACTTTAGACTCCAATCCAACTGGATAATCCGCAACATGTAAAGGAACCCGGTTAATCTTGTTGAACACCACTTTAGCAATTTTCTCAATAAACTCATATTCATTTTCATTCCTACTAAATGAAACATAATAAAATTAAATCAAATCATTAGACAAATGAAAATTAAAGAAACATAAAAAAAACAAAGGAAGATAAAACAATACCCTTGTTGTTTGAAATGAAAGCCAGACAAGTCAGCTGCTTGACACAGAGCCACCCTCCATTTCCGCACCTTCTCCATGTCATCCTTAAACCTCTTCTCATGAGTAGAGAGTGCTTCATCATAGCTATCTAACTGATGGCGCACGTGAGATGGCTCAACGTCATAAAAAACGGGCAAAACCAACCGACCCTTTTCCTTGATGCAGTGAAGGATATGGACTAGTTCTTCCAAGCAAAATGAAGAAGAAGCATAGTTCTTGGAGAACACAGTGATGGCAATCCTGGATTCTTCAATAGCCTTGAGAAGTGATGGTGTGATTTCCTCTCCTCTTTGAAGCTCTTCATCATCAATGAATGTGTGAATTCCACTATCATGAAGAGTTTTGTAGAGATGGCCAGTGAAACCGTGACGAGTATCTTCTCCTCTAAAGCTGAGAAACACATCGTATTTCCATCGATAGCTAAAGGAAGAAGAAGGCAACAAAGGTTCTTGCCTTGCCATGATTGGTCACTTTACTCAAATCAATTAGCTCAAAATCAGCAACGCACAAATACAGAAACTGATGTGTTTCATGTTTCTCAGCTGAGGAAATATGTAGCTGATCCTTCTCATGTGGTTCAACTTGATAATGTTGAGATCCGGGAGAATTTGAAGACTCCTATTGGGCCACTGAAGATACTCGAAAGAGATGAGAAGAAGCTGAGAAATAAATCTATTCCTATGGTGAAAGTCCAGTGGGAAGGAAGGACGCCTGAAGAGTCCACTTGGGAGCGGGAAGATGAGCTTCTCCGGCAATATCCTGAGTTTAAGGACAGGTACGTTCTTGATTTTGCGGACAAAATCGCTAAAAGGTGGGGTGACTATAATAGCCCTAACCTAATTAATTAGCAAATTGCATGTAATTAAATAATTAAGCATGTTTTAATGTGTAAAATTAAGTATAAGGCTTAATTAAATGAATCTGAGTCACTTTGAAGTTAAAAAGTGTACTCAGTGAAAATTAAGGGGTATAAATGGGTACTGGCGAAAGTGCCCAAAATATAAAAATAAAATTGTAAATATTCCTAGAATAATATCCAGACTTTTGGGTAAAGTTTGGTAATTAATGGAGTTGAATAGATAGACGAACCAATACCCGCCTAAAGTCACTTAACCTATGTTAAGTGACTAAAGAACAAAAAGAACCCCAAACCCCCCAGAAACCCGTCGAGCCAGAAAAGAAGAAGGAGGAGAAGGAGGAGAAAGGGAGAGAGAATAAGAGAGAGGGAAACCCTAGGGAGAGCAATCCTCCACCGATTGGAGTGATTCAAAAGCCTAAACCACTCTAAATCTTTCCCTCATCACTAATCCTAGCTTGGTTCTTGGTGGGGAGTGTTGTGTTGTGAGATATCATCCCCCAAAATTTCGACCCATTGATGATTGGGTGTCATGGAGGAGTCCATTGCTTGAAGTGATGCTTGGAACCTCTTCCTTGGGTGTCTTCTAGGTGAGTTCATGTCTTGATGCAATTCCTTCCATGAGTTTTATGGTGATGGCTATGTTAGGGTTTCATTGAGAAAGATGTATGCATGGTGGGGTAAATTAGAGCTTGATTAAAGTTAAGTTCCTTTGTAAATGTTGCTAGTGATGATAAATAAACAGTAGAAATGCGTTTAGATGGTCATTTAGTTGTTGTTCCATGTATTAGAAAATTTATGCTTGAAGTATTGATTTTCTAGTAGTGTAAGACATGGTTTGGTTGGTTGGGTATTGATTGTGCCTTGTTGTGTTAGGATTGAGGCATTTGGGCCAACCTTGAGAGACCAACCATTGGAGCAAGCTATGGAGCTTGATTAGCTCCATTGGATAGGTGAGTTCATGCTTATGTTTGGTATGAATTGTATAGCTTGGTTGATAGCTATGAGATGTTATTGGATGCAATATGTGTTAATTGCATTAAACCTTGTGTAGGTTTTGTTTGAGAAGTGAAGTATTGTAATTGATTGACTGTGGAACCTGTTGGTGGTGAACAAAGGTTGACTGAAGCATTGAGGTAAGCCTTCGGACCTTGGGTGTAATTCCCTTGATTGTTCCACCAAGCCCTGAAAGGGTAGTGGTGATTATAGTGTATATAAATGCAATAAAATAGTGTAATGCTTTGTTATACGTATGTGTATGCATTTGGTGTGGCATAGAATGGTGTTTCCCTATGTTGGTATGTGGCATGACGATGCGTAAATCATACTTGGTAGTTAACTGGCCAGTAGGACTATTTGCATCTGAGTTTCCTTAGGACAGCTCGAGAGCTCGAGGGATTTCTCCTGGAGATGTATTGCACTTTGCATAGATATGTATTTACTGCATTATTATTTTTATTGCTATTACACTGATATGGAACTGTGGGGTGGAGAGATGCTCCAAGGACCCCTGGTTTACTGGATATATTCGTATATCTCACCCCGTGTTGTAGGGACCCCCTTTCAGGTAAGGATGCTGCAGGAGCCTCTGGTGGCAAGTGGCCATATCTGGATTATGCATGAAATGTGGCATTTCTTTTGAGATTGTACATGTTGTTTTGTAGCTCACATGTATAGAATTAAATGAATAGGCAATGCTAGATTTATGATTTGTATATTGGAATGGACTTAGCCTATGCTCATGCCTTTGGTCATCTCTTTTGTTGATGAGAGCCAAGGGAATGATCATAGTATTTTGTAAGCTAAGTTCCATGATTTGTAATGGGTATGTAATGTAAATGATGCCACTTGAAATTCAGATATGCATGCTTTTATGTATTGAGTTATTGAATTGGTTGGGCTGAGAAATCTTATTAGGTACCTAGTTCTAAATTGGGAATTGTTGAGAAAACAAGGGTTATGCTGCCCAAATTTTAGTACAAGCCATGAGGAAAAGGGCATGCATGTCCCTTTAGATGTGTTTGTATTATGCAAGAACTAAGAACCATTTATGAAGAGGAAATTATATGATAGGTTGGGACGGTGGTGTATGTATGGAAGTTGTAGATATTTTTCTTAGCTTTCCATAGAGACCAATATTGTGTGAATTGGACATGTATAACTCTAGTTAGAGGTAAAATACTAAGAATTGGTGAAACCTTCAGAGCTTTGGCGCATCTGGCGCCAAACTTGGCGCACATCACGCCATTTTGCTCGAAAGCTTCTGTTTCGTGGCGCAATTCGCGCCGGAGTTGGCGCAAATCGCGCCGGGATCACCAGCTGGCGCACCTGGCGCCAACCTTGGCGCCTCCAGCGCCATTTCGATGGGGAGCTTCTGTTTCGTTGGCGCCCGCCGCGCCACAGCTGGCGCCGGTCGCGCCGGGATCAGCAGGATTCACGCGCTCGTTTCGTAGAAAACCCATAACTTGGGCTACAGTGCTCCGATTTGAGCGCGGTTTGAACCCACGCGTAGCTAACGAAGAGATCTACAATATAGTAGAAGTTGTGAAATAAACAAGAAGTAAATTAATGGTTTAGAAATGGAGTAATAACATGATGTTAAGCTTGGTTTATCTGGTTCCGCAAGGTAATATGGTTATGATCACGCAATTGGATATTTTAAATTCGGCGTCGTTTTAAAAAGAAAAATTTATCCGGATTTTTAATTGAGCCAATGTGATTGTAACTGCGCTTAATATCATAATGCGATGTTAACAAACCGGTTCTAGAACGGGGTGTTACATTTTATGGTATCAGAGCAGTTTCGTCGGAAATTGTTAAGTATGCTTAGTGTTTGATGCTTTATAGTTGTTTTAGTACTCTTGATGATTATTGCATTTGTGATCACTAAGTGTGGGCCTGATCAACTCACTTCTTTGTGTAACATGTGTAGTGACATGACGAGGAACCGAAACAACCCCGGACCATCAAACACCAATGCTCAGCCAGAACCTGTTTTGGCTGCTCTTGTGAGGCCTAGAAGTGGTCGTGGGGCAACGGGCGTACAGCCTGATCCCGTGGCTGAAGCTCTTGCAGCCGTTCAGAGGGAGTTGGCTGCTAGCAGGCAAGCCAATGAAAATCTGATGAAAACAAATGAAGACTCGCGGACTGCCATGGCCGCAATGATGACTGAGCTGAGGACGTTGAGGGGTCCTAGGCCCGTGAACCGGCAACCCACTCCTCCTCCTCACACTGCTACGCCTTCTCCACCTCCTTCACAGGAAGAGGGTGGAATGGGTAACAATGAGGGTGAGGGTAGCCATCACTCCGGAAGTCGGAGTCATCACACTGAGGTTCGTCAACCTCAAGTTGAAAATGTCGGTGATCATGAAATGGAGGAAAGGAGATTAATGGCCTTCCGAAAGCATAAACCTCCTTCTTTTAAGGGAGGTTATGAGCCAATGGCGGCTGCAAAATGGCTCCAAGCGATGGAGAAAATATTCAGGGTGATGAGGTGCCCTGACGCAATGAAGTTGGCTTACTCTGTTTATATGCTGGAAGAGGAAGCAGAAGATTGGTGGACAAATACCGTGCAGCCATTAGAAGCTGAAGGTCGGGAGATCACATGGCGGTTATTCGAGACATTGTTCTTGGATAACTACTTCCCTAGAGAGGCTAGGGAACAAAAGCAGAATGAGTACAACGATCTCAAGCAAGGGTCGATGTCTATTGACCAATACTTCTCAAAATTCAATGAGTTGGTGAAATACGCCAACTATGGGCGAGCCTTACCCACTCCGGCTGAAATGACCTCCAAGTTCCAATGGGGTCTTAATGAGAAGATGTCTCGGAAGATGTCAAATTGTGACATCCGGGAGTTCAGTCGGTTTGTAAACCAGTGTAGAAAGGTGGAGGAAGTGTATAAGGTGTCCCAAACCAAGAAGTCTTCTGAGGCCCAGGCACCTAGTTCCCATAAAGCAACGGGTTCAGGTTATTGGAAGAACAGGAAGGTGCAAGGCAAGAAGCTGAATGCGAATAAGCCCTTTGACTTGTTCAAAAAACCCGGTACTCAGAAGAATTTTGTTGATAGAGGACCTCCTCCCAAGTGCAAGGGATGTGGCAAAGAGCATAGAGGTCCATGTGCTACTGGTGAGGTGATTTGCTTTAAATGTGGAAGATCCGGTCACTACTCCAGGCAATGTCCTCAGAACGAAGCAAGGACTATGGCAGTTCAAGCTACTGCTGTTCCGGTCTCTGTTGTTCCACCTATGCTAGAGTCTCAGACGGTTGGTAGAGTATATACCATGGACCGTCAACAATCGGAGAAGGCTCCGAATCTAGTGAAAGGTACAATTTACATTGATAATATGGATGTTGAAGTGTTGTTTGATTCAGGAGCTACACACTCCTGTATGTCTGATTTTATGGCCGTTGGTCTAAATTTGCAAATGTATGACATTCGCCCTCCAATGAAAGTGGTTACAGCTACTGGAGAGGAGTGTTATACATCCGTGTTGTGTAAAGATGTCGAATTCAAATATGAAGGCCGAGATTACGTGCTGGATTTTATTTGTTTACCTATGATCAGCCTTCAAGTTATCTTGGGTATGGACTGGTTGTCAAAGA